AAAGAGCTGCTCAGCTGCTCAGATACGCGGGGCCTTCTAGCACGATGAAGAGCCTTTCTCTCGATCAGCCCCACGCGAAAATGAAGAGCCAGTGCTTGTCATTGATGTTGACCATACACATTCATGGCTGGACAACCAATCTGACACAAAGCCCATCATACTTGGTCTGAACAAGTACCAAGCCACAGCTGAGCAGTGATTCTACTTTGCGAACGCTGGAAAGACGAGGACCAGGATCAACCGGGCGACACAGTCCCCAGGCGGACATGCTAGCGTGACATCATTATTTCGTGAGACGTCTGGTTAAGATTGGATTTGCGTTTTGCTTCTCCGCCTTGCGCTTGACCTAAAAGAAGGGGATAGGGTAAATCGTGAGGTAGTCGATTATGAGCTCAGGTGCATTCTCACCGCACGTCTGGTAGTGAGTATTCATATGGAAGCACTGCGCTGCAGCATATTCAAAGTGTTACTCTTTGCAACCTCTCCATAATGTCCGATACCCTGTGAATAGCTGTCTCGAGCTTTCGTGGTAGCTTGACCTGAATGGGACCATGTGAACGGAATGTGCCAGTAGAGGCTCTTGGTCGCAAGAGGCATTGATACGATGAATACACCAGAATGTATGAATTGCTTTGAGTGCTTTCCTCCCTGATTAATTGAAAGTGTTGAAAATGAACAAGGGAGGTTGTGTTGACTGTGCTGATGACCCGAAAGATCTCATGAGATCAAAAAGGAGACACCCGCGAGGTCGTGGACACACTGGGAAAGGCAATCAATGGCAAAGAGTGATCCATTGATCGATGATCTCCTCCATGTCGTGAGCGATGCCCCACTGAGAAAACAAGCAGCGGAACAACTTCTGTAACGAGTTCATCTCATACAGCAAATTGCGCACCGCCCCCATTCCTGGAGGAGAGTCGGTTCGTCCCTCCTCCACAAAACGGCGAGTCTCTGACCCAGTCGAGGGGCGGAGGGTGTCACATCCAAGATTCAGATCAGCCCGCGAGAGCAAAGCGTCTTGCCAGACAATAGTACGAGGAAGGTGGATATTGGTCACCCCGGCGAGCGAGAAAACAACGTAAATCGTCGTTGCAGAGAACAGGGAGCTGGGCATGTGAATGACATGAGCACGCCCCCTTGGCAACTGCTCGACAATATCCTGGATCGCAATCGCGTGCAGCAATGCGCGACGAGCATCTTCAGTGTTGACCCATTTGACCATATCGAACCCCGGTCTCATTGTCCGAGAGCCGCCGGAGACATGCTGTGTGATATCGTAGCGAGAGCAAACGTGTCTGCAAAGAATGGTGGAATTGATCATCGTGTCCAGGCAGATTGTGTGCCAGCGGAGGAGGACCTCGAGTCTCTCCGGGGCCGAGAGGTGGATGCTCATGGTGATGGTCTCATGCACCTGAGCTAGCGCCCTACGAACGTCAGAGCGGCCAGGAACACCGACAGCCGCCAGATCGCTTTCGTCGGAATCTGAGACCAAAGACTGCAACCCTTCCAGAACGACCCGTAGGGCGAAGGCTGAGAATTGATAATCCAGTGGGCGGAAACTGCCGATGGGAGGGAAAAGGGAGCGGAAGACTAGTCGGAATGAAGGCTGCTCCGATCTTTGAGTTCGCATGGTAGCAATCCACTCATCCACATTACTGGCATCGAAAGCAGCTTCGCTGCTGGGCAGAATGAGTGGATTGGCAACGTGCCGTGTGGATGCGCCATCTCCAGACATCTGCGCAACCAGTCCGTCTAGAATGTGGTAGGCAAGTAATGCACGTTGTTGAATCTCCCTGGCTGCCCATGTCCGCCACCTATTTTCCTTCTCACTGTTCGGTGCGCTGGGGAATGGCACGCTCTCCATTGAAAAAGGCTCGCAGTCTAGCATACCGCAATGTCTTGCCCAAAAGAAACCGAGCGGGCGAAAGACCTGGCTTGTGGTACGGATCACTCGATTCTAGAAACAACTAGTCAATCATATATTCCTTTGAAGAAACCAGTTGGGCCGCATACCTTAGACAGAGCACCATATATTTGTCCCAAAAGAGCTGTGAGTAGGAGCTGGACTCCTTTGCAAGCATCATATGGACCACTATGTGTGATCAAGGACTGCCACTACAGCTTTGTGAGCAAGATCTCCTTCGTCATGGCAAAAACACGGCTTACAGAAGTAGCAATAGCCGTATGGGCCAGGCGCCATAGCGCCTCTCCCTTTGCTACGGAATCCTTGGGGCCTAAGTACAGGGACCCAAGTGCCATAGCGTTGAGTAGCAAGGGATGTGTGCATTCCCGGAAGACAAATGTTGCTCGGTGCAGAATGGGAAAAGTGGGTATGAATCGCACAAAGAACATGTGAAGGCACTCGTCCAGGAAGACCGATGTTATTGAAGTCGCTTTGATGGCTGCTGTCACGCTCGATGACTATCAGTCATGATTTAATGAATCAGCTTCGAGTAAGAATGAATGGGATCGGATATCCTCACCGAGCTTGTAACCATTTCTGTAACATCTCGCACAGCCTGGTGGCTACCACCTGATGGGATAGCGCCTATAGATGAACCTCTGTCGTCGAAGGAGTTTGGCGAACCAAAGTTCATCCCATTTACATCCTGCACAACAGGTGGAAAGGGCAGGGCGCCGAGTGGCATCTGCCACTGATCAGTCGTATCACAAGCCATGATGCTTTGAAACAGATTTTCGGAATCAGGCCATATTAGTGTAAAGTCGAGATCAGAGGCTGCATGCTGTAGGCCGGGCTGTGACTCCGCTTGCGTTGTCTCCCAAGCATTATTGGGTGGTGCCGACGAGGACACCACCCCGGGTGCGGTAGTTCGATGGGTGTCCCAGGCTATAGCATCCAGAGCCGACGCCTGCGGTGGCACATGCCCGGCGGACTGTTGTACTTGAGCCTGCTTGGCATTTGTAGCACGGACGTGAAGCTTTTCATGCCGAGTAAGAGCATCCTGGCGTGCGAAAGGACGTCGGCATTCTTTGCAGACAAAAGGCTTCGATCCCGTGTCTTGTAAACTCTGACGTTAGCACACACTCAAGAAGACAAGGCTGCACGTGTGATGAACGAGCGAACATATTGCAGGTCAATGGTTCATGAGAACGCATGATGCCACCCATTGTATGCCAGTACAGCTTGAGTCAGGGGTGCTTACGACATCGTTCGTGTCTCTACATACTAGAATTAGCTATAATCATTCCACTACAAAAAGACCTTCAAGATACGAGATCCTAGGGAGGAAATACCCTCAGGTGTTCAGCCTTGGAGAAGCCCTTCTCACAAACACGACATACCAAGGCCTTGGTCGTGGGTGTAGTGGCAGTGGGCGAGGATGTGGAGGTGGAGGTGGAGGTGGTTTGTGGCATAATGGCCGGAGGGGGGAGGGGAAGAGATTGCTTGGTAGCAGCCAAGGCAGCGCAGAGTAACTAAGTTAAGATATGCTGTATCACATCTGCATCCACAATTGAGTAGGCAGCAACAATCAACTAAGGTAGTCGAAGGAGCCAGCCTTCCACAACAACAAGATGACGACGAGAGACCAGAGGGGCCTTGAGCAGGGATGAAGATGATCGATCGTGGAGAGAAAGAATATAGCATCCAGGCTTTGGGGGGTGCGCGGAGAGGAAAAAGTGTGGGGCAGACGGTGAGGGAGCGAAGAAAGTGGCAAACAAGCAAACTGACCTGGACTTTTCCCAACTGAGCCAGGCACGTGGAGAGGTAAAGTATGTGCAGTACCGGTCTGATACCGTACGGTATTGCGGCCATTCTACCAGACCTCGGGATCTCTGCTTCAAGAACAATCCCGTCTTCACTTACCGATGGAAACGAACAGTACAAACTAGTAATCGGCTAACTCCAGACTCCAGATTGGCTTCTCCATACTTTCCACTCTTCGCTTCTCCATCTCTTCCCAAGTTGCGATAAGTCCATCCTCATGACTCTTCGGCATTACTAATTCAATTACGGAACACTAGCTGGCCAATAATTAGACTGACCTGGACGAGATTGATGGGAAATCAAAAAAGGTCGAGATTGCATGGCCAGCCCCCCTTACATCCATGCTAACTAACAGCCGCTGCATATGTACGTGGGTGCGTGGAGTTCTCTTCCGGCCGAACTCGCAGGTACCACACCCCACAATTTCTCTTTCTTTCCAGAAATACTTACATCTACCGGGGCCAATTTGATCGACCTGTTGTCTACCACCACTGCCATGATCATCATCATCACCACCACCATCATCATCGTCATGCAGACCCCGATCCTGCCTCTGGTCGAAGCTGAATGGATCATAAATGCGGAGTATTTTATTCTCGGTGGAAACGAAAGGTGAACCAAAGAAGCATTAGCCGAGCTCAGAAGGCAAATCAGCACATTTGCCATGACTCCTCCTACTCAGGTCGGCATCCACTCCAAAGAACTTATCCCGTCCCGGTATGACCTAATGGGTCCCTTGCTGGAGAAAGGCCTTGTGAAGTTGGGTTTGGGGTTCTCCGGAAAACCCGGACTCGGGTCCTCGGTTATGTATTGGACCTGATAGCACACTCAGTTCTTCGGTCCAGCCAATAAACTATGCCGCACGTCGAGGGTGACAGACCGAGTCGCCCATTGCCGTTACTGCGACTCGCCATTTTGTGGAATCCCCTCCGCATATCCCCCAATACTTGCCCCAGTAGTAAGCGGGACTCGTCATTCGGTTGGCTTTGCCCCGGGGAGGAGATTTGCTGACCCCAGCGATAGGTCGAAGCCCCAGACTGCGTGGAGCCTCGCCCTGAATTTCTTCCCTCTGACAGGAGTACCGTGAACTGTTCGCATAATCCTGTGAAATCCTGGCACATTCCTTGTAGGCCTCAGCAAATCGCCCTTCCACTCTCTTCATCACCTGTTGCCCATTGTTCAACAATCTCAAAAATCCAGTGACCGATACTCTTCAACACCAAATCAACTGTTTACCGATTTCCTTACCCTAAACATAGGGTCTCCCATCGAGATGACCGGGTCACACGAGATGCAGCCGTCTCGCACGGCTGTTGACCCCCCTACACCTGCCAAAGAGGATGTCGACTTTGTAGAAAGCACCGAGTCTGGCATTCCGTCAACGTATGCCGATATTGCAGCATCACGTCTCTCCAAAGCCCATCGTGATTACCTGCTCGAACGCCATGGCACGTTGGAGCTCGACCCTATGCCTAGCATGGATCCTGCAGATCCCTATAACTGGCCATCATGGAAGGTTAACATTCCGCGACTGACTGGCTTCTGACTATGTGTGAACCCTTGGCTGATGGGATAGTTATCCTGCAGAAAATCGTCAACCTTCTTCTAGTTGCATTCCACGCGTGCATGGGAACTTTTGCTGCTGCAGGCATCATTCCCGCCTATGAGACGTAGGTATCCCTCCGATCCGAAGACATCCGGGTTACTAAATCACATCCAGGATATCGACCGAGTACGGTGTTTCTATCAATGATGCCAGTTACATGACATCCATCCAGATTGCAGTCCTAGGCGTGGCCCCTTTGATCTGGAAACCCCTGTCGAATCGATGGGGCCGTCGTCCAGTTTTTTTGCTATCCCTAATTTGCAGTCTCGTCTGCAATGTAGGGTGTGCTGAAAGCACGAGTTATTCGTCTCTTGCAGTTTGTCGTGCCTTGCAAGCGTTCTTCATCTCTCCCGCGTCGGGTAAGCTTGCTAGTATCGCTCCGACATAAGAGAAACCAGACAAGCTAACAGACACGGAAGCTATCGGAAGTGCTGTAGTGATGGAGACAACATTCAAGAAGGACCGCGCCCGGTACATGGGGATCTGGACACTGTTGGTCACTCTGGGAATCCCGAGCGGTCCTTTCATCTTTGGATTCGTTACGTATCGGATAGGTTACCAATGGATCTATTGGATCTTGGCCATAGTAAGTTCCTCTGTGATTCGCATGATAGCCCAAGGAGATGATTGGCGGATGGCTGACAATTCAACTTCGCATCAATTAGATCAACGGAGGTCAATTTGTCTTATACCTCTTCTTCGGCCCGGAAACGCGGTATGTCGGGGGTGATTATGACACCAGTAAGCCTGCGTGGGTGCGAGAGTACGTTCAGCTGCGACGGATCGACCCCACACCTTTGTCGCCATGGGACTTCATTAGACCGCTGGGCATGTTCACGCACCCTTGCGTTGCCATACCAGCAGCTGCATACGCCATGATCTTCTGTTTGAGTAACGTCATGACCACGGTTGAGGTTCCGGCCTTGCTGCAGACCAAGTTTGACCTGAACGCCGAGCAACTGGGTCTCCAGTTCCTTGGCCCCATCGTTGGCTCCCTCATCGGCGAACAGCTGGGCGGTGTCTTGTCCGACCGTTGGATGAGACTGCGCGAAAAGAAGATTCATCGCAAGCCTCAGCCCGAGCATCGCCTGTGGCTCAGTTATATCGGCTTCCTCTGCTCAATTGTGGGCCTCGTTGTTTTCCTGGTTTGCACCGAGCAGTCCAAGGAGGGACACTGGAATATCCGGCCTATTATTGGCATTGCTATCTGTGCCGGTGGCAACCAGATCGTAACCACCGTCCTCATCACATATGCCGTAGACTGTTATCACACCGAGGCGGCCAGCATCGGAGTTTTCATCACGTTCGTCCGTCAAATCTGGGGTTTCTTGGGTCCGTTTTGGTAGGTCGCAACCATGGTCATTCTTCTGTCGCTGCGCACACAAGGTACTAATCGAGGCTGTTCAGGTTCCCATCCATGTTCGAACACGTTGGAGTTGCCGCCAGCGCTGGAGTATGCGCCGCTCTCATCATGGGTGTCAGTTTCATTCCGATCGCTCTCGTTCACTGGCAAGGACGATCCTGGCGTCCGGCCACGGGCGAGTAAATCGTCTCCATCATTCTTTGGCTATACCGGACACGACTCTCAATGGCATGACTTGCGGAATATTGAACATTGAAGCGCGAGAAGCTTAGAAGGTTAGATATAGATCGGATCTCGAAGGCCAATCCTCGCGAACTGCAGGGTTGGGCGAGAATTTGTAAATAGAGCATAGATAGGCAGCGAACAAGGAATGGAATCACCATAGAGCATCATGAAGAAGAAAGAAACAAATTCACTCTGAATAGAGTGAATGAGAAAAAAATCGAACTTTGATGTTATTTCCATAGAACCAACGATATACACGTGCTAGGCGGATAAAAGAAAATAAAATCCCAAGGGGAGGGAAAGCAGGAAAACGGAGGAGGGGAGAAAAGACTTTATCCCGGAGCCTTGAAGGAAAAGATCGGGGGACCTTAGCCAGCATCAGATAGATTTTATCTGTTGTAGACTACAGAAGATAATTTAATTGACTCCTCCCGGAGTACTCCAGGCGTACGGTTTTTCCCGCCGACCCTCAACCGGCATCAAACCACCTAACATCGGCAAAGCGAAAAGAAGAAGGGCCCCAAGTCAGGCCACGCTTACATGGGTTTTAGCGTCGGACCGGCTGCCCGATCAAACAACTTCCTTCTCGGGGTGTTGTTGGCGGGCTCGGGAAGAACCACCGGCAATGGGGAATGCTTTCTTATTGACTGTGTTGTTCCCTTTCACTTACTATGAGGGTTCAACTTGCATCATACGATATTGAATTCATAAAGTGGTGCTGATACTATGAGCATGGATCTGGACATTGTAAAGCAGGCGAGAAGAGCTGCTGATGTTGATTGCCTGAGGTTGGTTGGTTCAACTTGGTTGGTTCCGCTATACCTCCGCCCTCCGCAAGCTCAAGCTCAAGCTCAACCAGCTCTTTTGCCCACCTACTGGTTTTGCCGACGGGTATGAGATCTTCCGCCGGATGTTTCCTCAACCCTCTAGAAGTGCCTGTCATTTCCTAAAACATGCGCATAGCCTCTTGGGATTTCTGAACTTGTGTCTCAAGACTGAATCTGAAAATGAGAGGTGGTATGAGACTATATGACTGGTGTTCGAACTGTACAGTAACGTAATCGGTGAGCGAGTGGGCACGGCAAGCGAGTGGACACCCTGTGTATTGTATATAAAAGAGTATATTTAAAACACTTATAACTTCACCAACTTTTATATAGACTTTATAAAACTTTTATATTAGTTTTATATAAAGTTATTGTATCGATATACTACAACTTAGTTTTTTTGAAGCTTTTTTGACGAAGGTAATATAAAATACATTGTATTTTTTAAGTATTCTGAGAATACTGGTAAATAATAGCCTACAGCTATCAAAATATGATAAAATCTTGATCATAGATTTATACTACTATAGTATTTTTATATATATAATAACTTACTATTTAAATAAGTAGTTGTTAGAATATAAAAGTTTAACAATGGGCTTTTTTATACGTAATACACAGATGCCCACTCGCTTGCCGTGCCCACTCGCTTACCGATTACGATACTAGTTATTGTGATCAAGCTTCGTAAGGGGCTTATTTAAGCATTATGCGGCTGCCTGTTGTGGTTTCTTGAGTGATGTCGAACTATTGAGGTGTTGCAGGTCAACTTCCCAGCTTCGGTGCTTGGACCTCTGTGGGGAGGTGGGTGAGTCAGCGTGGGGTGTGGGGGGATGGGGTGATCGGGACGATCGGGCAAGTTTTGAGAATGTTGCCAACTGGCGGGCATGCATCACACATCCAACTGCAGTCGGGTCGATTGTTTACACTAACATTCACCTCATGTACATCGCCGCAGCTTTGGACGTTACTGGCTACCAAACAATGTAAAGACATACATATCAGATTCAATTCGCTGGCCGGAAACGCCTGTCCTATTCACCATGTCCAGGAAGACCTGAGCAAGCGCAGTCCCAAGGACATGCGCATGTACTGTACAAACATCCGTTGCTTTCATACTGTGCATCGACCAGGCATCAACTAGGATCAAATAGGGGCTAACTAGGCCCGGTTCAACCGGAACCTGGGAATAAATACAGAAGTATGAGAATGGGTTTGGTTTCTGAGAGTCTCCCCAAAACACAAAACGAATGAGAAAGGAAATAAAATGTAACCCTAGAGGTATCCAGCGAAAATCAAAAGTCGGTGGGGGCTGCATTTGTCACATTCATTATAAGCTGAAGCGCTGAGAGCCGTCGTCGAGCCATGATGGTAAGGTGGTAAGGCACCTGCGACTGTCTGGTCTGGTCCCTTCCAACTTAGTCGATAACAATAGCCTCCTCAATCTGCCGCCGGCGTTTCTTCTTGGCTTTCTTGGGCCCTTTCCTGCTCTCAGAATTCGGTGTTGAGTCCAACCCAACCTGGGATGAGAAGGAATACGGCGAGCTTGCGCGTGACTGACTTCCTCTTTCACCGTCAGAGACCGCAGATACACGAGGTCGCTTCCTGTCCCGCACTGAGCCTACTGAACTGCCCGAGCCCTGCACCGAATTTGGTACGGCAGGAAGTAGTGGCTGAGACGATGTTTCCGAGCCTTCGCGGATAGGTAGGAATCGATTCGCAGACTCTTCCAGTTTTTTGACCTTCGCCTCCAAATCTTCCCATTTAGCCGTCGTGGCTTGTTCGAGCTGCCGGAGATCCCATTGATGAGTCTGGAGGTCAGAAGGATAAGACTTCAACCTTTTGATATCGGCTCTCATGGTCTCATGTACTTCCGTGACTTGTGCGCTTAAACTCGCCAATTCCTCGGTGAGAACTTGGCTCTGACTTCTCAGAGAATCTCGCTCTTCTTCCATTTTCTGGACCAACAATTCGTCCTCCATTTTCCTTGATTCTATATAACTGCTGACGGTAGATGCAAGCTCCTTGACTTCATCTTGCACCGCTCGCAGACGGCCTGACAAAACATTCGTGCTCGAGATTTCTCCGGTGGATGGATTTGGCAAAGGCGCCAGCGACTGCGACAAAGCCTCATGTTGCTTGACCAAGGTCTCGACTTGCTGAGCTAGGTGATTCTGTTTTTGGAAGGTACTGTTTGACCGAGAACCCAGGTCCTTTTCCAAATTCTCTACCCTCGCATCAAGTTGAGGTAACCGTTGCTCGAAGTGCTTTGTTAGCAGCTTCATCCTGTCTATCATCTGTGCTGCGCCGGGGTACATTTCTTGCATAGCCTGTGCCATACTCCTAACTAGAGGCCCAGTTGACAGGTTGTTGTAGCGCATCTCAAGTGAATGTAGGCCTATTTTGACACTCTCCAAGTTCTGCTCTGCGGTATGCAGTGCTGTCTCGAGTGCTGTGATTTGTCCATCCGAATTTGATTTGTCTTTGTTGAGGAAAATCTTGAGTTCGTCACAGAGTTGGCTGTTCTCACTTTTGATCGTGGAAATATCTACCTTGCTTTGTTCCAGGTGGGTTTTCAGGTGGGTTTTGAGCTCTTCCATTTCAGACATCGCAAGATCATCTTTCATTGCCTGTAATTCCTGAAGCTTGTCCATCCGCTCGGTAAGACTATGATATTTAGTGTCTTGAATCTGTTGCAGCTGGGTTTTTTCGCTGAGTGCCGAGCTCTGTGCAAGCCTATTTTCCACGGAATCCAAATGAGAGTTATAGCGCGCCATTTGGTCCGCCAGAAAACGGACAAACTTCTCGTCATAGTCGCGACGCAGATTATCCAGCAAGTCCCGATACTCCTCTATGTCTTGTTTGTTCTTGGTCTCAAGAGACTCCAGTCTACCGCCCACATCAAAGATTGAGGATAGTGATTTATCCATCTGATCTTTCGGAGGAAATGAATCTGATTGTTTGTTCAAAGCTGAGCTGAGGTGCGCAATGCGCTCATTAGTTTCCGTATTATGATCTGCATGCCTTTTTAACGTGCTTGCATAGTCCCAAGAAGCTTTCTCTGTCCGGGTCACGCGGTCTTGGAGCTCTTTTAGTTTGTGCTCTAAAGTCACATTATAGTCTCGCAGCTTGGTGATCTCAGCCCTGGCGCTGCCCAAATCGCTTCTTGCTGTCTGAACCTCGCGCTGCAAGTGCTTAGTCTGTTCGGATCTACTCGTATCGAAGACGGACGAGCCGAGTGTGAGCCGCAAAGCATTTTCGCGCTGTTGGTAAGTAGCATTATGCCTCTTGAGGGCCTCCGAGACACGTGTGAGCTCCGTGTCCTCATCTGCTTGAGATTTTTGGAAGAAAGCCGCGGTCGATGGAAAACTGTTGACGCTTTTGGCTTTTGTGCATAATGTCGCGGTAGCCTCCTTTCTTTTCTGTAATCGATCTCTCTCCGACTTGCTATTGGCAGCGAGGATTGCGGCTTGGACCAGGTCGGAGAAACCGCGTATTAGGTGGTCGGGATTGGAAGTATTCCGTTCATTGACCGAGTGGGTGCTTAATTGCTGTGCACTGAGTCGCGAGTGAGTCTCGGACAATGTGCGGGCAGCAGTTGGTCTGAAAGGGCGAGCCAGACGGGGGTCGCGTGAGGGTGAGGTCTCTGGTTCCATGGCAACTTGTCAAGTTTTTAGGGAAAAACTGTCGAGTGATCTTGGTAAATCGATGGCCCTTCTACTCGATTGAAACCATGTTGCGGGAGACAATGTGGAAAGAGCGATCATTGAGGGTAAACATCACATTGGGAAATTATGGGGAAGTTGGTACCAGACCAGAAAAGGTAAATTGCTTACGTTCATGGATCCTGGTGCCCTGTGTACCAGTTGTCATGGAAGCGATAAACAGAGCAACAAGCAGCTGGGGAAACAAGCAGTGGGAACGACGCGTGAAGCAGCCGAGACTGACCCAGTGAACAGTTGGATCGCTGGCCCATCATTCACTTGCAGTGGTCTGTAGTGCCATCTCTTGTCGGCCGCCACAAATCTCAGAGGCACGGGCCCCGGCGCGAACGACAGTTTTCTGCCGGGCGGTGTGTCAGGCGGTATACTGTGGGCTTGGCCGATTCTGCCCTGCGCAGCTCTTCCATTCAGTCTGCATTTCCGCAACGCCTGCAGACCAGTTTTGCGCTGGTACATCGAATTCACTTGCTACCTGTCACTCGTCCACAGGAAAATTTTTCGTGTCTGCAAGTAGTTGCGATGGCTGCCGTGAGTTGACCTCAAACACCTTCCTCAATCCTAGTTAACTCCCTCCCATTGCTGACTGTCGACAGCCAATTTCTACCGTTGCGGAGACCAAGGAGCTCCGGGGATTGAACCTCATTGCTGCTCATTCGCATATTCGTGGCCTCGGTGTGGATATCGACTCTTTGCAGCCCAGAGCTTCCTCCCAGGGTCTTGTGGGTCAGGAAAAGGCCCGGAAGGCTGCCGCTGTCATTCTGCAGATGGTGAAGGAAGGCAAAATCGCTGGTCGAGCTGTGTTGATCGCAGGGCCTCCCAGCACGGGTAAAACAGCCATCGCCATGGGTATGGCCCAGTCTCTTGGATCGGATGTTCCTTTCACCATGCTCGCTTCTTCCGAAATCTTCTCGATGGAGATGTCCAAGACGGAGGCTCTCACGCAAGCTTTCCGGAAGTCAATCGGGGTTCGCATCAAGGAGGAAAGCGAAATAATTGAGGGCGAAGTTGTGGAGATCCAGATTGATAGAAGTGTGACCGGTGTAAGTAGATCTCTCACAAACCGTGATTCGAGACTTCACCTAGCACTCACTTCGATCTCACCTGATTTAATGCTTGGCGCAACATGCCGATGCTGACTTGCCCAGGGAAACAAACAAGGAAAGCTCACAATCAAGACAACGGATATGGAGACAATCTATGACATGGGAACGAAGATGATCGACTCGATGACCAAGGAGAGAGTGATGGCAGGAGACATCATTTCTATCGACAAGTCGTCCGGCAAAATCACCAAATTAGGACGTTCTTACGCACGCTCCCGGGATTATGATGCCATGGGCGCCGACACCAAATTTGTGCAATGTCCTGAGGGTGAGCTTCAGGTTCGCAAGGAGATCGTACACACTGTTAGCCTGCACGAAATCGATGTCATCAATTCGCGGTCACAGGGCTTCTTGGCCCTCTTCTCGGGTGACACGGGCGAGATCCGGAGTGAGGTCAGGGATCAGATCAACACCAAGGTGGCTGAGTGGAAGGAAGAAGGCAAGGCCGAGATTATCCCCGGTGTTCTGTTCATTGATGAGGTGCATATGCTGGATATTGAATGTTTCTCATACATCAACCGTGCTCTGGAGGCGGAACTGGCACCCATCGTTATTATGGCCAGCAACCGTGGCCACTCCCGGATCCGCGGCACTACCTACAGCTCTCCGCACGGATTGCCTTTGGACTTCCTTGACCGAGTGGTCATTGTCAGCACACAGCCTTACTCTGCGGACGAGATCAGACAGATCTTGGCCATTCGGGCACAGGAAGAGGAGATCGATCTCTCACCCGATGCCTTGGCACTTCTGACGAAAATCGGCCAAGAATCGAATCTGCGATACGCCAGCAACATCATCACAACATCTCATTTGCTCAGCCAGAAGCGCAAGGCGAAGGAAGTCAGCATTGATGATGTCCAGCGCAGCTATCGTCTGTTCTACGACCCTGCTCGGAGCGTCAAGTTTGTCAACGCGTATGAGCAGCGGTTCATTGGCGATCAAGGTGCAGTGAGCTTCACTGCCCCCACAAATGGCGATGCCATGGAACTGTCATAGAGTTGATTTCCTAAGGACGTTCTTGGAGTTATGCAAAGACGGTCATGCACGGATCTGTTTTCAGTGATCAGATGTCGCAGATGGAATGGTGTAGGCAAGGAGTAATCCAGCCACTCCCTCGTCTACTTGACTCGATCTGTTTGTTGTTTTCACATCAATTGCTTGATGTATGATATTGCCGGCGCTTTTTGAGAAGTCAATGTATGGGCACTTTGATTTTAGGGTCAAATTTTAGTCAAAAGTGAGCCTAGTCTAGGCTCGAATGATAATGATGAGATTAATATTCCCAAGAACCCGGGTATCCGACGATGCTAATTTACATATACAATATTCGCCTCATGACATAGACTGGGCACGCCAGTCTCAAACAAAGGTAGCTGTACTGTTCCACTGACTGCCGTCATTCGTATGGCGAAACTCAACTCCTTCCCCAAAATATCCTGCATTTCTCCAAGACTCCATCGTAGGAGCATCGTATGGGCCATGTATGACTCCACCGTCACGAGCATCGGACCACCGAAACTCCCACATCGCAGGGGATTCTTCCACGGAGTTGGAGGAGTCTGCAGACGGAGGATCGACCCAGTCCTCGCCGGTCTCGCGGCGGTACTGCCTTGTAAGGAACTCGCGTTCAGTGTCATAGATCTCTGCCTGCCCTCTAGTCATGAGGATGTCGGCAGCACCGGTGATCTCTTCGATAGCCTGCTTTCTGGCCACTTCCTTTGGATCGTCATCTGTCATTTCCGCATCCTCAGGCGCAGCGTCACTCTGCTTTTTGCGGTTTTTATTGCGATTGGTCTGCCATTTTTGCTTCTTTTGAGCGCCCTTACCTATTCTTGCCAGAGCTTCTAAGATCGTCTCGCCTCGCTCCAGATGGGTGATTAGAGTTCTCAAGACATCCGCGGTGAGTACACTATCGTCTTTGCGCTCTTTTTCCTTGCGCTCTTCCTCCCGCTTCTCTGCAGCTTCCCTGGCGCGTCGGATGTCCTTCTTAGAGACCCCCTGCAGCCACGTGTCGTAGACCGCGTCGGGATCTGCTGCCTTTCGGACATAGTTTCCTTGGTCATCGAAGCGACCTTCTTCTTGTTCGGTGCGCATGTTGAAAGCGTCTAGGAGTGGTGCATGCTTCTTCTTCGCACCCGCACCCAGTTCTTCATCCAGCTCCTCGTCGGGTCTAGCGCGCTCTTCATCCCCGACCTCGCTTTCGCTTTCGTCCTCCTCGTCCTCGATTGTGTCAGCCCCCTTGGTAAAATCTGCGTGCACCGTCCCGCCACTCTTGGACGAGGCAACCTGTCCTTCTATCTCGTCGTCCCGCAGGAACCGGACGTTCTTCTTGTTTTTGCGCATGGCTTCATCGGCATCAATCTCCTCGGGCCCAAAGTCCTCCTGCAATTCAGCAAACATGTCATCGTCCTCAGCGTCGTGCTTCTCTCGGCTTGCTCTTGACTTGGCCTCAATGCGCGCTGAGAAGCCCTCGTTTTCACTGTCGGAGTCGTAACCGTCCAAGTTGACGGCTTTGCGGCGGACTTGTTGGCCTCGGCGTCCGATTTCGTCGGCATCTAGAACTGCATCTTCTTCTAGTGCATCGGGAGCAAGAGCAGAGGGGTTTCGCAGATCAAAACGAGGCTTCTTGGTCGATGAGCCGTCCTCGTCCTCGTGGTGAGTACGGGTGAAGTCTTCACCTGCCCGCTTGGGGCGGGGCTGAGAGGCTGACATGGAAAGACGCGGGAGGGAATCACGGATCGCAGTAGACTGTCAACTCTAGATTTGGTTGCAAATGAGCCAGAAGGTCGGGACGAACAGAGGTAAGAATCAAGACATTTTGAAGCTGCACTGCGTTGTCTGGGGTCGGGTCGGAAAATCAAAGCGGAGCCGCGCCATTTGCGTCACCGCAGGCGATCCGATTGATCGGCCGAACGTACCTGAACTCCCGTCACTCTCTACAACTGCTCGAGCTCTGTTTGCTACACCTCAGTACTTCTTGACATCTCTTCCCTGGCTTGTCGCCTTCGGCCATACCATACATCACAAGCCGCTATTGAGTCTTATTCCCAACACTCATATCTCTTCCAGCTTCCAATCATCTCCTTAGCTAGCTCCCGTTGGTCATGGTGGGTTCCCCGCTTTCACGCCGTCAAGTCACTCAGATATCCCATACTAAACGGAAGCAGTTTCAGTCCGGTTACTGGGAGGACGATCCGATGGAGGGGGTGCTTGGCTCCAGTATGCTTCGTCGTGGAGGAGCAGCCCGCCGTTTCGATGAATATTACCGATGCTACCCTGTTGCGATGATGCCTGGTCCAGAGAGAGAAAATGTCAACCACGGCGGCAAGGTCATCATGCCGCCTAGCGCTTTGGACAAGCTGACGCGTCTGCATATCACATACCCCATGTTGTTTGAGCTTCACAATGGTGCCAGGGAAAGAATGACCCATGCGGGTGTCTTGGAATTCATTGCGGAGGAGGGGAAGATCTACCTGCCATTCTGGGTAGGTCCCTGCCACAACCTATACATGGTCGCGGAGCTGATAATTGGTGCTATAGTTGATGCAAACACTTCTTCTGGAGCCTGGCGATCTAGTTCAGATCAAATCCACCGACCTATCACCGGGCCAGTTCATCAAGCTACAGGCTCAGTCAACCAGTTTCCTCGACATCAGTGACCCCAAGGCCGTGCTGGAGAATGCCTTCCGAAACTTCTCTTGCCTTACCAAGGGTGACGTCTTCACATTCGCCTACAACGACCAGGTCTACGAGATGGCTGTCTTAGAAACCAAGCCTTCTGGCCAGAGCAACGCTATCTCAGTCCTCGAGACCGATCTTGAAGTCGACTTTGCGCCTCCGGTGGGCTACGAGGAGCCGCAACGTCCCAGTGGAACCAGTACGCCTCGCAGCGGAGTGAGCGGCAAGTTGCCGTCCGGTGGCTTGCTACATCCCCATGGCACCATGGCACAGTCAATCAATTATGCTGCCATCGCACCCGAGTCAACCGACGCCGCTGCCGGAGCAAGGGCTGTGTCGTCAAACTTCCTTGTCGGTGGACAGCGTTTGAACGCTAAGAAAGGTAGTAAAACCCCCACTCCCAAACCATCTACTCCCACACCCGGTGCTACCAACCCTCAGCATCCTCCTCCGGTCAGGAGAACCAACGGGCCGCAGCCGCTTCGACTGCCCCCGAATCAGCTTTTCTTTGGATACGCAATCAAGCCTGTGAAGAAGCGCGATGAGACCGGGCAGGTTGTTGAAGGAGACAAGCCCCGATTCCAAGGATCCGGGCAAACGTTGAGAGGAAAGAAGAAGGACGCCAGTGGCTCTGCTACGCCTACCTAGTCGAGAACAGCGAGCAATTCGAAACGGTGCAACGCAGGTCCGGCAATGTCTTACGGGCGCATTGAGACCCAAGCCCTTGTACAAGCCCTAGGTTCGGTACATTCCTGGGGTTGAATGACAAACTCATGAGTGATAGACTGAGACACGGGACAAAAGCAGGACGAAATTAGAGCATAGCGAGGACTGGCGTTTGATAGGTTTAGCTTTAGGTACCAATTCTGATCGGGAGGTTTTCCTCGTGTTATTCGATGTTCCCGGGGAGAGCCATGCTGACCAGTGAGTAATCATAAAATCCGCATTGCCGCCATGGCAAAGACTCTCTCTCCACTCTTGAGGTGATGCTCGAGTCTAGTGCTTAGGAGCTGAAAATCAACGAGTCATAAATACTTCCTCTAGTGACGGTAAGCCGGGTGGCTGATTGTATAATCTAGGATTTCAGAGTCTGGCTAGCGCAACTTCGTATTCTTCCAATTTATACCAAAGAAACCTCCCGAGTGTTGACTTCTTTTTCCCCGATTTCTCGCCTCGGTTCTATAGGATCTACCGAATACTCCGTTCTACACAAAAACAATCAAACCTTCCCTCCCTTTCTCTCTCGCCCTCCAAACCTCGCAATCCAATTCCAAAGAGACACACCACTACAGCAAAACAATGACCACCACCACCCACACCGCATCCACCCCTCCCCCCAACCCCCTCAAAGCCTTCACTCAACTCTCCCCCTCCGTCTACATCCACCGTCCAGCCAATGCTCCCCACAAACCAGAACAGATCATAATCCTCGCCTTCTGGATGAACGCCCACCCGCGCACCCTCACCAAATACCTAACCACCTACCTCGACCTCTACCCCCGCGCCACGATCCTGTACACGCTCTCCACCTCCCTGGATTTTTTGATCAATTTCACCGCCCGCACGCAGCACGCGCGCCTGCAACCCGCCGTCACCGCTCTCCGGGCCGCCGCCGCCGCCGCCGACGCCGACGCAACAACCAGCCGGGACGACCCAAACCCCGGGCCGGGCTCCTCCCACCCCCGCGTCTACATCCACATGTTCTCCAACGGCGGCACCTTCGCCGTCGCCCACCTGCTCGAGGCCTACCGGGCTGCCACGGGCCGCCCGCTGGCCGTCGAGGCCATGCTCTACGACAGCGCGCCGGGCACCTCGACCTTCCGCGGCGGCATGCGCGCGCTGGCCGTCGGGTTGCCGGCGAACCCGGTGCTGCGGCTGCTGGGGATGCTGGTGCTGGCGGGGATTATGGGGTGGTCGATGCTGTTGACAGCCATCATGCCGCGCGCGGATGGGGTGATGGTCGGGCGGCGGGGGACGGTGGATGCGGGGTTGGTGGTGCGGGGGGGTTCCCGCACGGAGGGGGCGGAGGCTGCGCCGAGGAGATGTTATCTGTACTCCGAGGGGGATCGGGTGGTCGATGCGAGGGATGTGGAGAGTCATGCTGAGGAGGTTGCGCGGCGGGGGTGGGAGGTCGAGAGGGTCAAGTTTGACGGGTCGGCGCATGTGTCGCATATGAGGACCGATCCGGAACGCTACTGGGGGGTCGTGAAGAGATATTTTGGCGGGATTTAGACTGACAGTACTGTCAATTGAAGGCGTGTGAGTGAATTACCGGTATACATATCAAGTGTTTGTATGATACTCTTTTAAGTCAAAACTGTTCTATTCAAATTCGACCGCATCGCCGAGCGCTATGCATGCAAACGTTATGTACAAGCGAAAACCCCCTTTCCCAAGCAGGAGCCTCCCAATGATGCTCTAAACGCCTCCTTTTTTGTCTCTCAAATGACCTGAACTTTTCCCCTTCCGTTTGTTTTACTTTTTATATCTCGCCAAAAATGGAAGACTGACAGAAGTGCTTGTGATGTTGATGTATTGAACCGTCTTGGTCTACCGACCCTTCATCTCGGGAAACTCATCTTCCAACTTCAATCGCGCGGTGACATTCATACTCATCAGCTCCTGGATGAGAAGCTTGGCGGCGTACGGAATTGCCATCTTCACCACACTTCGAGAGGACTTGCACCGTTGACACCAGTTCAGATAACCCATAAAACCACACTGCTCGCACACATCGATCTCGTGTCGATCGGACGAGATCATCAGTCGCTCCAGCAGCAGCTGACTGGTACCGTACGCAATCAGACAATCACGCTCCATCTCACCGAGACGGAGCCCACCGTCACGGGAACGACCCTCCGTGGGCTGGCGGGTGAGAATGGCGCGCGGTCCGCGAGCACGCGAGTGCATCTTGTCCTGCACCATGTGCTTGAGTTTCTGGTAGTAAATGGGACCGGTGAAGACATAGAATGGCAGAGCCTCGCCCGTGATACCGGAGGTAAGATAGTCTTTACCACCATAGCTGAAGCCGTGGTCGATCAGGATCTGAGACGCCTCTTGAACCGGAGTGCCGCCGAAGCAAGTGCCGTAGCCATGGTGGCCGGCCAAGACACCGGCTTTGCCTGCAACAAGCTCCAACATCTTTCCGACTGTCATACGAGAGGGGAAACCGTGAGGGTTCATGATGATGTCCGGGTTGATTCCTTGGTCGGTAAAGGGCATGTCGGCTTGGTCGGCGATAATACCCACGACACCCTTCTGTCCGTGACGGGAGGAGAACTTGTCACCGACTTCGGGACGACGTGTTTGTCGAGTTAAGACCTTGACCAGCTGGTTCTCGTTTTCGGTCACAGAAATCATGACCTTGTCAATGTAAGCAGGATCGGGAAGCTTGTAGGTCATGGGAGTTGGCATATAAGAAACGGGCCGGCCAGGGTCAGAGCTGGCGAACCCAGAGGACATCGACTGGTCGGGCGTGGACTTGTTGATGTAGACTTCACCGGCGTTGACCTGCTCACCCACAGCAGCCAGACCATCACTTTCGAGCAGAGCATGTTTCCTGATCGGCGCATCGTTCTCATACTGCGGTCCACTCAAGCGGTCCTTGGTGCCGTTCGAGTAACTCTTCAAGTTGGTGACGTATTTTTTGAACACCTGACATCTTCCGAATCCACGATCCACAGATCCCTTGTTCAACACGAGGGCATCCTCAATATCGTATCCTGAGTAACTCATGACCGCAACAGTTGCATTCTGTCCAGCGGGTAGTTGGTCGTACTTGACCAGCTCGATCGTGCGGGACTTAACCATCGGCTTCTGCGGGTAGACCATGAGATATAAGATAGAATCAATCCGCAAGAATTGATTCGAAGCAATCGCACCGATTGCTTGTTTACCCATAGCACATTGATAAGTGTTACGGGGCGACTGGTTGTGGTGGGGATACGGGATCAGACCGGCGACAGCTCCAAGAACAGTAAACGGCTCAATCTCCAGGTGAGTCGTTGTTTCAGTAATATCTTTCTCGTAGATAGCAATTAATGAATCGTTCTCCTCGTTCACATCAAGATATTCCACCAATCCCTGAGCAAGGAAGTCATCGAAAGCCATGGTACCATCCCGCAGCTTCTCAAGATGATGGGCCTTCACGCGAGATTTGCCGTTATCAACAATAACAAGCGGTCTGCAGATTCTTCCGTCATCGGTGGCTACGTGGACAGCCCGCTGGTGGTGGTTGATGTAAATGCTTACGAACTCGGAAATTCGACCCATCCGACGGAGTCTTCGGAAAGCATTGAGGAAGAATTTCGGTCGTCGAGTGAGCGCCATAGGAGTACCATTGATCGAGATAGTGTAGCACCCCGGGCCATAAAGTTCCTTTCCACCGACTGTGGAAATGTCTTCAGCACCGAGCATGAAGATCAAGTTCCGGATAGGGCCCTCCTCGTCATTCGTTGTAATGTGGGTCATGAGTGCCAGATTCTTCACGAGACCACAAGCTTCACCTTCCGGAGTATCGGCTGGACAGAGCATACCGAAGTTGGATGGTTGCAGTGCTCTGGGACCACTGACCTTTCTGGTCTTTTCGAACTGACTGCTGATACGCGTCATCATACCCAGAGCGGCAAGGTAACTCAACCGACTTAGCACATGTGTCACACCTGCACGTTCCATGCGGAAACGTTTCAAACTCCAGTTTCCGGTGGAAATAGCGCGGTTCATTCCTTGAGTAATGTGGTTGCTGTGCATCGTAATCACGCTATAGGCATCAAAGGCCTCAGCACGATTCCGCTTGTTCAGTACTTTGTCGATGTTCATTTTGATATCAAAGCAGAACTTCTTGAACAAGTCCTCGAAAAGCAGAGCCAACAGCTGGCCAGCCAGTTCCAACCGCTTGTTTCCGAGATAGTCGCGATCGTCTACTAGAGTAGCATCATTCTTGGCCATGAGAACACGACGAGCCATGTGTGCGACATAGATAGCCTTAGGTCGGAAATCCATGTTCTTGACTTCGATATGAGAGATGATAACGGAAGCGATGGCTTCCACAGCCTCTTGCACATGAGTTCGGCGATATGTGGATTGCTTGCGATTGATTTTGATCCGTGCGCCAATCCAGTCGAGTGCCTGTTGCTGGGTATAGATACCAAGCTTGATCGCCTCTTCGAAATTGATCGCAAAATCTTCCTGGTAGACCTTGTCAACACCGGCGACGAGCAAGAGCATCTCTTTGTCGGTGTGGATACCCATGGCCTTGAGCAGGATCACGATGGGGATGTCCTCGCTGAGAACATTGTGTTTCACGTAGAGTTTGTCTTTCTTCAATACGATATAACTTTTGGATTTACGTTCGTTGGAAGAACTGCACAAACAGATTAGTACCAGTGCCCACCAATGGAATGGGAAAAAGCGGCAGAGTGTTACCTAGTGACCGAGGCCTGGACAATCTCTTTCTTGGGATCCGTCTCGACGATGATTCTGTTCTTGCTCAACTGCTCCTGAACAAGGATGACCTTCTCTGTACCGTTGACGATAAAATAACCACCAGGGTCAAGAGGGCACTCATTCAAGACGGACATCTCCGCTGGGGTCTTGTTCGCCAACGCGCACTTCGAACTCCGAAGCATGACCGGCATTCTTCCAATGGCCACACCTTTCCTCATAACCCTTTGGCGTCCACGAACATACTCAAAGTCGACTTGAATGGGCGCCGCGTAGGTTGTGTCACGAAGGCGACATTCGTGCGGGGCCACAGTGGACTCTGAGAAATCGGCCCGGACATCTTGCGGCTCGTCTGCACGTCGAGGGAATCCCAGGTAGATGTTGGTGAACTTTATGTAGAAGTTGTGGTCGACATCGCTGCGGATTGTGGAGCTGGATTCGACGATCTTCTTCAATTGGACCTCGACCAGGTAGTTGTATGAGTCGATGTGCTGCTTCACCAGACCTTTGACCTTGAGGAATGCCGGCAGCAGGTTCCATTTATCCTTGGCGGTGTTGATCGGATCCGTTAGGCCCTTGTTGTAGTAGAACGGCTCGAGAAGAGCATCGAAGGGATCTCGGTGGCGGTACGACGTGTGAGAATGCTCCTCATCGGAAGCTTGCGGCTGTTCCTCGACGACGGGAGTTGGCTCTTCTGGGGGCGGAGCAGGTTTGGACTGAGAGGCGCGTCTGCGTTTGGAAGCATCGGTGGTTCCTGGCCTGGAAGAGGCAGCGGCCTAAGACGTCGCATAAGGTTAATGAGGGCGGCGAGAGACGGCGCGGAAATCTTTCTTTTTAACTCCAACTTACCTCTCCAGATTGCGTGGACCGCAAGTTGGCCGCAGAAATCGGCGCTCTCCTACGAGGAGGCATTGCTGATCAGAACTTGCGGGTCTTGCTGCAGGTCGATCAAGGGTGGTGAAGAGCGGGCGTCACGGCATTCTAGATTGACGGCACAATTTCTTCTTTATCAGCGAGGGGATTATCCGAACTATTTTCCATTCGGCAGAGGGGCAGGTTACATAATCTGAAGCTATCCTTATATGGTTAGATCATAGTCCGGCTTACAAATTCTCGTGCTAACCCCAAATCAGAATGTCATTCGGCCCCGCCGGCTGTTTTACTTTATTTCCGGCTAACGCTGACGCTTTGACCCACCCCTTGAATCTGTCGGTTGTCATCAGTTCAATTGCAATTCGTGCACAGATCGAATTATTCCGGGCGACCATCGCTGATCAGGGCATAGATCGGGTGGTCCGGCGAAGAACATTCAGGAGCGACTGCGAGCCCACAGCCTTCGACTTGAATGCTTCTTCGATCTCGTCCAGCGATCTGCCTTTGGTCTCTGGCATCATGACTGCGCATACAAAGGTCGTGACAAGTGTGCATCCCGCGAATAGGAAATATGCACCAAAGCTGCTTCTCGAAAGTAGAATTGGTGTAGCAAGTGCTACTAGGAAGTTAGCCGCCCAATTGCTCCCGTGAGCTAAGCTAGTTGCCGAGGCACGAGTCCTTTGTGGCTGTATCTCTGCTGCATAGATCTTAATGCCGACAGCCCAGCTCAAAGAGTATATCACGGCAAATATGTAGATGCTGACTATGACAACCCATCGCCCCGCTCCACTCGAGCTGTGAACTGCCCTGCTTGCATATAGAGCTCCTATCAGAAGCATCGTGAAGCTGAGGCCGATGCCACCATAAATGGTACTGTGTCGACGACCCCATTTGTCGGCCCATATGAGTGCAGGGATAGTGACAGCGAAAATAACAATTGCAGAGACGCCGGAAGCGAAGAAGCTTGCTGATGAGGATGCAAGTCCTGCTTGCTCGAATAGAAGAGGAGCATACTGAGAAGACAAGAGATCAGTGCTGTGATCACCAGAGGTCGGCGAGGAGAACCTTACATAAAGAACACCGTCAATCCCACTGAGCTGTTGCATTCCCATGAGGAAGACAGCTAGAATGGTGCGAGTCCGAACGTCTTTAGAGAAGAGATCGAAAATCTTGTCCTTGGCTGACTTTGCTTGGGCCTGGGGAACTGATGAAGCACGTTCTCTGCTGGAGGTGCTTGCAACTTCAGCGACAAGAACTCTGTCCTGCTCAATTTCAGCCTTCTCGCGTTCCGCCTGGCTTACCCCCAGGTAGTCCCAAGCCGCAGTAGCCTCGGTTCGGCGACCGTGAATGGTCAACCATCGGGGCGACGGGACCAGCCAGAGCCAAGAAGCAACCGAGAAAGCCACTGCCAAACAAGCAAGAATCAGGAAGGGAGTACGCCACGAGAATGAAGATTTCAGGCGAGCCGTTCCATAACATGTGAAGAAACCCACTACCAAACCCAATGTGATGAGCAACTGAGGGCCGGTGGTTAAAGCACCTCTGACGTCGGGCGGCGAAATCTCGCAGATATAACTGTGTAGCGTCAGACAGACAGCTTTTGGTTAGAGGGGAGGGATGTCGGACATACACTACCAAAGTTCCAAGGTACAAGCCCTCCCCTATGCCCTCGATGCATCGCCCTGTTACGAACATGCCAATGTGAACAGCTGCTGCCTCAAGGCCTGCTCCAATTCCAAATATCAAGGCACCAATACTGATGCCTTTTGGCCTACCCAGTTTGTCTGCCAGGTAACCTGCAAAGAATGAAGATATTGCGGCAGGAACAAGGATAGACGACACGATCAGCCCGTGAATCACTGCAGCCTGGCTTCCGAACCGTGAGGTGAAACTTTCCATGACGGTCACGGGGCCAATGATCCCTGTATCCATTCTAATATTTAGGCATCAGTATTGAAGTTGAGATAACTGGGGTCAGAAGCAAATAAGTACCCAAAGAGGAGTCCTCCGCAGGAGCACAATATACTAGCAGTGACATATCGCGGAGGTTTCTGGAGGATAATCATGGTTATAGGATTGTGGGAGGGCAGGGTGGAATCACAAGATGAGCCACAGAACTGACAATCGGTCGTGAGGCCGATGCTTTTCATAAACCATGAGAGAAAGAGGGGCAGTGAAAGGGAACAAGGAAAGAGGGGAAAGGGACCATAGCTCTGGAATTACCCGGATCCACTGACGGCAATTGATATGACCCACCCTCACTATCGAACTACTAGTAATCTCAGCACTTCTGCAGTGACCAGTCTGGACAAAGATGCTTCGTGATTTTCTTATGTCAGGACTGCATGCTACCAGGGAGCGAAGGCCATTGAGAATACGCTGTAAAGATAAACTCATATCGACCCAGGTATGCTTGCACTAGGGAGGCATACATAAATGCTAGTGTGAATGGGCACAAGAATCAGACAGTCTTACCATGATGGCTAGCCATAGACACTTTCGTTTATACTGATAGATGCACCATTCTATCTCTTCAAATCGTACAAGCGCCAGTACAGAAGGAACGCGCGTATCAACATCTGTAAACATGATTTGTAGTTTGCGAAGAATAGTGGTTTCAATAAACCAGGGAGGACGCAAAAGAACATATCATTCATGAGCAAGTGTGTTTCAGAAGACATTTCTTGCTTGAGAAAGGTCACAACAGACTACTCAAGAGATCAATGACACAGTCTTTGGTGTTGGAGAGATATGTAGGCCTCGGGGCGAGGGCAAAAAAAAATTGCAGAAGTATATGACCGACGCAGGGATCGAACCTGCGATCTCTCGTGTAATCAATGTGGAGATTGTAAGACGAGCGCCGTAACCACTAGGCCAGTCGGTCAATATAAATTAAATATTCTTCAAATGCAACTATATTCCAGATGTGTCTTGGAAAGAACTATAGTTTTCGTCGATAACCAGAATGGCTAATATCAAAGGGATTGCTTTTCAGTGATGAGCTAGTGTCTGGCAATGTTCATTATGAGCATCAAATCCATTCGAAGAAGCGAAAGTCGAAGGTGAGATCCATGTTGTGGCTGGGAACCGGGCCGTTGCGAGGTGAATAACCTCAGGCCTTTCAGGCATTGGATTTATCAGTTGGGTCGAGCCGAGTCCTCGTCGAAAAGAGTTTCCTAAGTGACTCGTTGAACTGGTCCGTGCATTGATGGCCTCGCGTCCATGATCAACGCGGTTGCTCCCGCAGCTAGATTGATCTCCAGCCAAGCACCTCATCCTCACACGGAGTGACACATGACAGAGCCGCTGGCGCAACAGTCTCCCGAGTACCTCTTTGGATGAACAGTCGCCATGTCTGAGGGGGCGAGCAAAGCTTGATGTCCTATGCATAAATGATAGCTCCTGACAGTCCAAGCTCTCACTCATGGCGTTTGCGAAAATGAGCACATTTACACTCAGCTCTCTTTGATGCGATGCGCTGCGTGTGCTAGTACTATCTGACGGCAGACACTCTTGTCAGCTGGTTATCAGGTACCGGCTAGTGTGAGTAGGGCATCAATGGGCGGCAATAGATCGCTAACAATTTGTACAGCCAGGCAATTCGATCCAACCCGGCTGGGGCTATGAGAGACGTAGAAAGAAGAATACGCCCTGCTTTCTCTCCTTCATATTCTTCCCTACTGCGCATTTGCTCAGGCCAGGCCTCAGTCATGTCTTCGAGTTTGTTGACCGCGCCGAGCTATGCTAGCTAGAAGTCAAGCAGTGTCATGGATTTTCTTCCACTCAGGGCTACATAGAGGGTAGTCCTGTACATATACAGCACAGTGCACGAAGTGAGCATGTCACCTTAGGGCCTACATGTGCATCCATGCATGCAGCTATTATGACCCGGGGAGCTTTCCCCTCCCAAGGGCTAAGAAAGAGAAGGACTTTGCTAATAATCGACCTCGCCCCGGGACCACAGCCGTATTTGATTTTGGGTCGATCGCGTATTATTTTGCCCCTGCTTTCTCCTCTTTCTCGTGGCCTGCGGGATCTGGCTTTGCGCCTTCTCGACCCGGTGTTTGGGATGTGGCCCGAGTGACACGGTTTTATGATGCCCTACTCCTCCTCAAGGAGTAAAGGGACCATGTCCGCTCAAGTCTTAGGCTTTCTCTATGCCCTTTGTTTGGTGCGAGAAGGGGCGAGAGCTCTGTGGGATTGTATAGTCATTGATTGAAAGCTAAAAGATCATTGATTGAAGACAGATCCGGTTCGAATGGGTTGGCGGGATGTACAATAGATCACCACTCAAAGAGCTGCTTCGATTTGCAAGTTCTTCCTACGCAGCTCAGATTGATTCCCTCCTTTGAGGTACCCCGATTTTTCCACTTCTCGCCAACTAGATTTTCTATGGCCTGCGTGACTAGACTACTGCTGACGTAGGGTTGGCCTGAAGAGACCGTGGCGAGATGCTGGCCCATCTCCTTGTGTTCGGCGGGATATTCCTCTCAACGATAGGTGAGCCGATCCGATCACGAGAATGCTTGGGACTGCACGTTACTAACTGAGTCACGATCAAGGACTTTGTTTCTCTCTGTTGAGTATTTGTTATTTATCTGTCTTTTATGAAGCCCCAGGATCTTGCGTGACCAGCGCATCGTCCAAGTCATTACTGAAAAGAACATTCATGCTTGTTGCGAACCGAACCTTTAGGCAGGCACATGGAAGTCTGATGTATCCCAAGTATTGAACCTTCTCTTTCGCATAGAAATTTTGGGTATCGAGCTCCTAAGAGGTGGCCGTAGCACCTGCACCGGCATCTCAGGCAACCAAAAGACAAGCCTGTCGCTGAACATTGACCACAATGTCAAGCCCTATCACAATCTAGCGTGCCTGGACACGATACGTCAGCTGGTTAACCCTTTGACTTCTGTACAGAAGATCTTGGTCGTGCCACAGATTTACCCTCCTGACAAGTCTATTGATCAGTTCAGAGTCACTATCACCAAAAAGCCGACCAGAATTGATTCCACGCTGTGGAGGAGAGTAATCTTGCTTGGAAAGAGTGCAGGCATGGTTACCCAAGCTCGGCATGAGGGTATGCGAACAGTCTCTTGGAGAAAATCTGCTTTTTGAGCAACTGGACTCGTGCGAGCTACCGGACAGTGAGCTACAAATAGTAGTGAGCCGATAGATGAAAAGATTTCGGCAGTTGATTGACATTTGGTGGGATTTGGTCAGGCATATCAACCGATATTGACCATGATCAAGCCCAGGCACCGTGCGCCTACTTGGTGTGGTTTCGTCGGCTGAACAAACTCGCAACTTGTTCAGGTTATACACTATAGACCACTGATATTCAAGGCAATGGTATAATAATTGAATTAGCTGTAGTATCTACACAAGGGCTTCAAATGTAATGCTGGTTCGGAATACTGGCAGGGGGTTCTTCCTTTCATTGAGATTCGTCCTCAAGGTCGGCGGACAGTTCATCAGTGATGGCCGCATTGGACATCACATATGCAGAAAACTCCAGTGAACCCAATTGGAACCACCTTCTACCCTTCCAGCTACATAGTGTGCGGGGTTGGGCATGAGAGTGGTCGGTTCAAGAGGATAGATATGTTGTGTCTCTGATCGCGAGCTAGGCTTGTCGGCGCCAAATGTGGGTTAAGGCGAAGGCGCGGTTCGCGCACATTTGACATCAGACGCACCGCACAACATCAGAGCTAAAGTATGGAGTCGGCTAGAGGTACGCGCAAGAGAGCAAATGAGTAATGAAGATTGCTGTGGCGGTGGGTGCTTTTCTGACCGCAATTTGGAGGGATGGAGGGAGGGAGAGGGGAAATGAAGGGTGCCTCGCCACCTGGCAGTTGACTCTCCCCTCCCTTTCGGAGATAATCAAGGTTGTTTGATAACGATCAGTTGCAGCTGGTGGAAAGCCCCTCGTGCACCGCGGAGAGACGGAAAATGCATTGCATGATACAGATCATATAGTTGAATCATTCTCCTTCATCACGTGTTATTTTGATCCCATCGACTCGTGGTTGACCACGCAAAGCCCAGCGCCTGTTCAAACAAGGTGGAAGACGATGAAAGGTGCCATACATGATCAACCAGATGCAGTTCGATTTTTAGCCACTTATCACGCTAAATTACTGACTAATAGGACTTGACGAATCCGAAACAATCCACAGAGGATAGTGTACTGAGATTACTATGAAACACACTACCTAAATCTCTCCGTGCGGCGGTAGATCGTCTGGGGCCGAAGTAGCCTGAGGAGCAGAGGATCGAACAATACATGCTCTACTAATTGTAGTTCTCCAAGTAGGTGTAAATTGGCATCATAGACATGCACGCACCAGATCAAATTGGATCTCATAGTTAGGTATTTTAAAATAGCCTCCGTCCCGCACATCATTGTGACCATGGTACGATGCCTACCCAACAAGCGATGAGGGTAAGTACCTGATCATACCTAATGGGATTGAATTTGACTCTCATCTCATGGAATGATGTACAGATCGCCTAACCAAGTAGGCGAATTGGTTGGTAGCCGGGCGCAAGAACCAAGCCCTTTTTAGTACCCCACATATCATCCGAGCTGTGGAGGTGTCACAATTTGTCCCCTGAAGGTTCAAATCTCGAGTATGAAGGGTCTCATGAAATGGACGGATGACAGACAGCGGTCAAAACGTCAAGGTGAGGAGAAGAAGAGGGAGTGCCCCGTACTTACTACCTGGTACGGAGTACGCAGTAGGCTAAGACAATGCAAAACAATGAAGGCGATGGAAGGAAGCGGAGAAGTGGTACACCGCTTCTCCTCTGCTGCACCAATCATCCGCTGACAGCCACTCAGCCTGACATGATCCATGATGGCGAAATTACGACCCGGAAGAACAGCACTGCAATGAGACTGGAATTGAATCATCCATGATCAATTTGGCCTCAACCTTCTATTTTTTGCTTATGTATGATACGCTTAGACTACACGCCACGCGCGTCTTCCCACCCCTTTTCCCTCGAGTTGGGTCGTTGATTTGCTTGATCCATGGGTAGAGGCTGACCGCACCGTTAATTGTTGCATTCATAGTTGTGAAGATCCGGTCATGAACCCTGGTACAGACTCCCGGTTCAAAATTAGTACCTGGCCAGAACCCTAATGTTTCTTTGGAGAAAGGGTAGGGTGACCTGGTGGAAGTATAGTGGATGTCAACAAGACAAAGAAAGGGTGGTAATCCGGCCAAGATCACTGCCTGGGCCCGCGGTATCGTTCAAGAGGCGAATCCTCCAAAAGTCCAAGGGCCTCTCTGACAGCTTGGGCTAACTAACCTTGATCACGATCGGTGATATTCATGACGCAGATCCCATGCGCTAATTTAGGTATGAGTATCCTCAGACGGGGTCTGAATCAGAGGATCATTCCGTCTTACTACATGCACAGTCATGGTCCTGGAGGGCCGAAAAAAAAAACAGAAAGGATTTAGGCCTATGCTCGATACATTGGTGTTTCTCGAGTCTACCATGACTTGCACCGCAGCCGCTATTAGCACTCGAAAATATCACTCGTCGTTCATTGCAGCAGGATGTACTTGTTCGAGAGCCCGATCTCTCTCTCAGTGTCCAACGACTCCAACTAGACTAAGGTATCCGGTGGGATGCTTTGGCCCAGGTACAGTACGTGCGGTGGCCAGGGCGCAATCCGCCGTCACAGTTTTCGGTTTAGTCAACTGGCTTTTCTCCACTTGATGCGAAAACACTTGCAGAGAGCCACGCTCTCGAACCAGCACACCGAGCAGGGAACCCCCTTGCAACATCTCCAGCAGGGAGGAGATCGGTAATAAGCCCCATCATCAACAGACTTTCCTTCATCATCATGGTTGTGTTCTCAGACGATACCGGTTCGTTGCGCTGCTGGAAATGGAGAGCATTCTTCAAGGCCAACAAGCCCGTGGCTCGGAGGACTTCCTCGTCAATAATTACTTTGGGTCATTCAACGCGGTGAACATAATCATACTCATAATATTCAACCCTGCGAGAGGGAGATTACCAGGGGATGATGGATTATGGAGCGTGCTAGTTAGTTATAGATTACTAGTTCAATCTTGGGTAACTTTAGTGGCTATTGGCCACCCCATCCCAACGAAGTCGTGCAGTAGTATGTCTATTGACCCGGTTGGCTCCAATTACTGATCGCGAAGAAGCGATCCATTCATGATCCGTCCAAAAAGCAAATGATCGACCGAAAGGTGGTCGTTGGAAAGCGACAGCTCACCAGCTGTCGGAGGGGGTAATAGATTGATTATTAACAATTGGAACAGGGATGGGCCTATTAGTCTTCAAGGGATCATCTTCAAGATCGAATTGTGCCACCTGCTTGGCTTAGCAGAATTGCACTTGACAGCACTGCGCAAGTCAAGAAACAGGAAATAGATGAGGGCAAATGGTCAGGTAGTTATACTCGAGAAAGAGGGATGAGAGTTATGATGCAATCTAACGCTTGGGGGCGGGCGCCGATAAGAAGGTAGAAGCACCATCGACACCAACAGTGAAGTAGATATAGCTCTGTGTAATAGTATGTATGTACAGTTACAGTACTTCAGACTTTTTGACTGTACGTACGTAGAAGAGCTTCTTCGATATTATTGCAATTTTTATTTTTTTTCTAGATTTAAAGGAGAAAAAAAGGAACTCGATCGCAGAAACAGCAGTGGCCGCCGCCGCCTCCCTGACCCCCGCTTGTCTTTCCCAGCCGCCCACGCCTTGCCCCCTCCCCCCTCCTCCCCCCCTCTCTGTTGCCGCCTCCCACACTCTAGTCAGTCAGTCAGCCTGCCCGCTCTCCTTCTTCCATCCCCTCTCGTGTACTCCGTACCTGACACACCTTCTCTAGTGTACAACAATCAATCCTTATTCTATTTTACCATTCTTATTCTGCATTTCTTTCTCCCCCCCCCCCAAAGTCTTCCTACCCTCGTTCGTTCGTTTTGTTACTTGCTGGTCCACGCTGCTCTTGATCCTCTTCCCCACCTGGGCAAAAAAAGAAGAAGGAAAAGGAAAAGACAGCGCAGGGCCTAAGCAGTAGTGACTCCATCGCCCAACGCTTGTGATTCACCACCACCGCTATTGACCGAGATCTCCGCATTGTCACGAACGCATCGTTAGGGGTGCGACCTACCCTCAACACTCCTCCACCCTCCCCATCCCCTCCCCTTCCATCGAGCCTGTCCTTACTTGTGTGTCCACAAGTAGTGGTCACCAAAGTCTCTTTTCGTACCTGAAAAAATAAACTCTCGAGGCGTTCATTGTGTGTGAGTCGCTGTTCTTCTCCGAGATCAGCTCCGCCAAACCACCCCTCAGCCCCTCCCCGTCCCCTTACTCCGTACAGAGCTCATTATCTCACGGAGCACACCGCCCACCAGCCATTGATCCCTGACTCCTTGGCCCTCGTGCTTTAATCTCGGTCTTTCTCTCTGTTTCCCTTGCAATCGCAGGTCGAGATTGACGTCCCCCGAACTCGCATCACCTTCCGTTCCTACCATGTTATAGCCTGTTCACTGACTGATTACGGCCACCCCTGAATGGTTATTAGTCCAGTGATTCTCATCCCAAACTGCCCGCCTACCATGGCTTTTAAAAACGGACTTAGTGAACGCCTCGACGAGCTGCGATTCCCCTCTCCACGATCACCTCCCTCCGAATCCCCATTTCCTGGCTACAATGCGCTCTCTCCGACCCATTCGAACTTCGTGTCGGCGTTTTCGCGTCCATCCGGTGACGTTCGTGCCAATCTCCAACGCCGCTTCACAACAGACTCGAGTAAAGTGTCCTCATGGAACTATATGAATGGTGTTGGTGGGGGTGCACCGGCGGCGGACCCTCTAGATCTCCTTTCATCGGTGAGTCTAGTATCTTTCCTGGATATTCTTGTTGTGACCTGGTGTTTTGTTCCTATGCAATCACGTTCGACCAAGCATTTCGGTACTATGACTGTTTTTTAAACACTCATGTGCCGTGTGCTTGCAAGCAAGGTCTTTGTTCCTGCCCTGTGTGGTTATCATTGGCTGTATTTGCAGTTCATGAAGCGGTTCTCACAACCACTTAACTGTCCTTTCCTGTACTCGAACACCCACTTCTTGTCTGTAGACAAGCACCGCTTTCCCTACTCTGCTGTATTATAAGCCCAGCGCATGTCCTCAGATCTCCGTGTTCTCGGCATGCGAATCATCGTGTTCTTGCATTCTCGCGTTCTCTTGTGCTCGGCGCTCAGAAGTGCCCTGTTGCTAATTGACTGCAGTTTGAGAAAAAGCGTCAGCATATCGAATACATGCGAGAGCAGAGACGAAGGTTTGAAGAAGACATGAAAATCTTAGACTTGCAACACGAGAAAGAGAAGCTGGAAATGGACCAAATCGCAAAGGATCTCGCCAAAGCCGGTTTGTCTGGACCAGTCAGTGAGCCGACGACGCCGCCAGAATACCATGATAACACCCTTCCTGGCTTCACCCGTCCTACTCGGTTTTCAACCTCCAGTGTGACTTCATCTCCTGGCTTCTTCAACGTTTTTGCGCCATCTCAAGTGACAACTCCCCAGAGTCAAGTAAACCATAGCTCTGCCCAGACCCCAACAAATCGATTTTCTGTTCACTCTGTTCCTGGTTCTCGAAGGAACTCTGAAAAGGAGGATTTCGGCCAGGAGCCTGCATCTCCTTTCCGTCCAGGGCCATCGTAAGTTTCACCCCTTTCTCTTTCATAGGCGCTGTCTTGCCATTTCTCGGATACTCAGGCACTGCCTGAGAGCATATACCCGCAAGGTCTAGTGAGGCGGCCTGCAAGGCTCCGATGTCAGCAAGTAACGCAATTCATTCACTGTGGCCTTGCTGTGAAATGCCACCTCTGTCTTCATTCACAGCATCCTGGCATCTCCTTGATACCTCTCTCACCGCCTTGCTTTTCACACCTCAAAAGAGTCACCAACTGACAATACTTAGCATTCACCGGTATTCAATGCCTTCATCTGGGCTAGGCTCCCAGATTCGTCCCAATATAACTTCCTTCGATCGCTCCTCCGGTCTGGAGTCCTTCAACGCCGCAAAGTACTTGTTCCACAGCGAAGACGATCCATCAATGCTGAAGGACGAGGATCGAATTCCAACGCCCGATATCAAGAGTTATCTCAAATTGACGGACCCCGACGATAAGTTTCCTACTCTCTCACGACGTGACGATTCAGGCCTGGTAAGTCTTCTCGAAACATTTGACGATCCTGTTCTTACTCATCTACCTAGTTATCCGCGAACTCAGATGCTCTAGACTTGGCAAACTCGCGAACCCCGAACCCTGAGACCTGGAACTCTCACAGCCGTCACCGTACCTCGCATCAGAGCATGCCTCAGAACGCCCTGAATATGTTCCGTCTTGAACAGCTTGGGTCTTCCGCGGAAGAAGTCCATTCTCATTCCGCTACTCCTGCACGTCACGTCGCCAGACACTCGCTTGAAGCGAACGTTCTCTACGGCGCTGACGGCAAAAACGAAAGCATGTCTGCAACAGTCACAAACCGACCTACATCTTTGCAGTCCTCCTACTCCACGAACGATCTGCCCACAGTCAAAGGCGATGCCTTCAATCCGGCTATCACACCTCCCAAGACTCACGCGGAGCAATTCCAGCCACATAATGCCAACCTGGGACGGATGCCAGGCTCTGGTCCTACCAGTCGCTTACCCAAGGACTCACCTGAACATGAAGAGGCTAAAATCCAGGGGTCCCGACCTCAGCAGACGATTCTTCAAGCCAATGCTGCTCCGTTCGGCCCGCAGCTCACCACTGGAGCCGGAGCTGTCAACAGCAACATTGCTGCGCCAACCACACTGACTCCCTTCCAGCCACCCTTCTACGGGTATGGCCTTCAAGCATTTATGGGAGCTCCTACACAGCTTCAAGCGTACAACCCGGCAGCCCCCTTCAATGGCTATACTCCCGCCTATGGTCATTTCCGCCCAGGGGAAGCCCCAGCCAAGGCGGCCGGTACCCGTCGGAGTGGCGACGCAGACACTGCCCAGCTGTCTCGTTTCACGAACTTTCCACTTGAACACTATCAGGGCGAACTGTACGGTCTTTGTAAGGACCAGCATGGGTGTAGGTACTTGCAGAGAAAGCTAGAAGAGCGTAGTCCAGAACATGTTCAGATGATCTTCGAGGAGACTCATATGCATGTTGTCGAGCTTATGACAGGTTCGTATCATGTCTCCACTGCTATACAACTCCCATGCTGACCTCATTTTCTTTTCATGACAGATCCTTTTGGAAATTACTTGTGCCAGAAGCTACTGGAATATTCGAATGATGACCAGCGTACGGCTCTAATCAACAATGCTGCACACCAGCTGGTTAAGATCGCTTTGAATCAGCATGGCACCCGAGCTCTTCAGAAGATGATCGAGTTCATCTCCACTCCAGAGCAAACCCAGACAGTGATTCACGCTTTGAAGGATCAGGTGGTGGAGTTGGTTCAAGACCTGAATGGAAACCATGTTATTCAGAAATGTCTCAACCGCCTCTCTGCAGAAGACGCCCAGTTCATCTACGATGCTGTTGGTGCCAACTGTGTGGTTGTCGGAACTCACCGGCATGGGTGTTGTGTTTTGCAGCGTTGTATCGATCACGCTTCCGGCGAGCAGAGGGCGCGTCTCATCGCTCAGATTACATCCAACGCCTTCGCACTTGTACAGGATCCTTTCGGAAATTACGTCGTGCAGTATATTCTGGATCTTGCAGAGCCTCATTTCACTGAACCTCTGTGCCAGACTTTCCGTGGAAATATTCCCGCTCTGTCCAAGCAGAAGTTCAGCTCGAACGTGATTGAAAAGTGCTTGCGCACTGCTGACATCCAAATCAGACGCCAGCTGATTGATGAGATGTTGGCAGGTGCGGAACTCGAAAAGATGCTTAGGGACTCCTTCGCCAATTATGTCGTGCAAACAGCAATGGACTTTGCGGACGCTGACACACGTACACGCATTGTTGATTGTATTCGCCCTATTCTACCGTCTATTCGCCAGACCCCCCATGGGCGTCGCATCGCCGGCAAAATGTTGGCCTCAGAGGGCTCTAGCAGGGGCAGCGCTACTAGCAGTGGCCAGGTCACTCCCAATGAAATGAACTCAGCCCAGCTTCCTGGTCCTCTGCAGAGCCCAACACAGAAGTCATTCTTGTATCAACACAGCCCATTCCCCATTTCTAATGTCGGTTCCCAGTTTGGAAACCAGACATATGCATTCAATCCTGGCTCCGTTGCAGCCGCTCACACTGGTTCTGGCGGTGCTGCGGACAAAAGCAGCCTTTTCGCTTCGGCCATTGCGCAGCCCAACAGCAACCACAGTAACCAGAATCCGGTGTTCGCCAACTACTGAGCTGCGATATTCCACAACGAAGCGGCAGTCCCATGTTTACTGAACTGTACTCATATTGAGACGATGAAACGATCCTCATGATTCACGGCCACACCGACATATCGCCAGCAGATTGGAAGATTAGGATACTGATCCCATACGACAAGACCTTATCTCACGCAAGATGCACTGCATATCTGGATCATTCTTGGCGGCAAGATGTAAACCATTGATAAATGCTTTTTTATCACATTTGATGTCCTGTATTTTTTCCAATGCTAACAGAGCTTACGTTTGCCACGTCCCTCGACGAGAATTTTTCGAACAATGTCTTTTAACCCTTTTGCCGTCTGTTTCCCATTCCAGCAGACTAGTGAGCTTCCTAGTATCTGGCGGTGGGGGGCAGATTGATGTCTCATGCCTTGCTCTTTCTTTTAATATTCCCCCAATGTGCTTCTATCTACTTCCCCATGATTTACTTGTGCCATTTTTCTCTCGCCTTGTTTTCTATTGACTATCATCTTGTTTTCTATTGACTATCATCTTGTTTTCTATTGACTATCATCTTGTTTTGCTCGTCTTCTTTTGCGTTCTATTTTGTCGTCTACCTGGACTCTGCTATGCTGTTGCCTGCCGGTGGAGCTTGTGGCCGTTCTTTCTGGACTTATTTGGACAGTATGGACGGATGGTTGTTTTCGGGCTTCATCCGACATTGTGCCTGTTCTTTTGCTGCAAGTGCATTTGGGGTCTATGACCACCAATTTCTATTGGCCAGCGCCATTCAACATCAGAGACAGTATCATAGATGTACCCATAGTTGATCAAACAGAGGATCTTTTCTTATGATCACGGTTCTACAGTTGAACCACTATAAATCACCTAAGGATAAACAAATAACTAATGGGCAGGGTGATGCATAAAGCATCAAACACGTGACTCCGTGTTACCCGCGTTTCTTCTCCGGCGGAGATCTTCAGTACTTGCTTTGGCTTATCGGAGCGCGATCTGCCCCAAACCATTCTTCTACTACTCCAAGTCAAAGCAGCGTCCACCTGTCCATTCCAGGCACCTCAGGGTGTCGTCTTGAGTTCCTGATGCTTCCCTCCGAGGTCGCCCAGTCGATCAGCAAACAATGGCCTTGTCGCGAGCTCCAAAGCCGCCAACTTGCTAGCCTGCTCGGTGTACGTCCGTCCACGAATTTGTGTCCCCGATAAACCCTTCTCCTCCTCCCCCCCCCCCCCCCGGGTCAACGTCGCAAGGCCATCTCTTCTTTCTGGCTCTATCTAGCGCTCAAAAACCAGCAAAACTAATAACGTATGCGGACTCCAACAGGCCAAGGTCTCAAGCCCGTCTACCATAGTCGTCCATGGCATCTCTGCCACCTGCAAGACCACCATCGTGCGCAATGTGCTCGCCGCCCTCGACGTCCCGCACGCGCTCGTCCGCAGCCCCGAGTGCATCACCGGCCGCCATCTGCTCACCAAGATCCTTTGGGCCACCCTGGAGGCGCTGGGCAAGCGGGATGAGTGGGAGAAGTACGGCAAGGGACGCTGCGAACACGTCAGTACGCTCGCTGTGCTGCTGAACGAGTGTCTCGCTTCGGCTTTCGTTTCTTCGCAACAAGAACAACACCCGCCGACGCGCAACAATCGCAACAAATTCGTGCTGGTTCTTGATGGGATTGACAAGCAGAGAGAGGCGTCACCTACACTACTGCCTGCGCTGGCGAGACTGGGAGAGGTGGTATGTTCTTCTTTCTTCGCCCCGCCCCCCTACTTCTTTACCCCTGTGGATGACTGGGGATTGCTTTCTGTGTTCATCCTCTGCATTCTTTTGATTGCTGACTACTATTAATTTTTCGGCCTATATCACAGATTCCTTCGCTATGCGTCGTCCTCGTCCTTAGTACCCCTCCGCGACCGCTCTTCTTACAATCGGCCGGCGTCCCACATATCAGCTTCCCGCCTTACACGCGCAATGAAGCCACGACCATCATCCTCCAGGGCGGTCCGCCCCCGGCTGCCGCCGCCACCCTAGGGCTTTCGGACGCGGTCGCCTCGACCCTATACCCGCATTTCGTGGCGGCCGTCTACGATTCTCTGGTCGGGCCGACGGCCAGCTCCATCCCGACCTTCCGGTCGATCTGCGAGAAGCTGTGGCCGCGGTTTGTGGCGCCCATCACGACAGGCGAGACTCCGCCGGGGGGCGTCGGGGAGTGGGATTTCACTCGGCTGCTGGTCAAGAATCGGGCCCTGTTCCGGCATCAGGGGGAAGGGGCGCTGGTGCATCACATCGTCACTGAGGAGGATGAGGCGGAACCGCCCGTCGCGAAGGGTACGACCGCCGTCTCCACCAAAAGACCGAGATCCCTGTCTGCCGCATCGGCCCCATCGCCCCTGCCTTCCTTGCCGTACTTCCCCACCTTGATCCTGACCTCGGCCTACCTCGCCTCGCACACGCCGCAACGGCTGGATACGATCTTCTTCTCCAAGTTCTCGTCGTCCTCGCTGTCCGCGCGGAACAAGCGCGCGCATCACCGGCGGCGGCTGAAGCTGCTCTCGCGGGCTCAGCTGGAGGATGCTGCGTCGGCGGCGGCGGACCCGTCGACTCCCGGCAGCCGGAAGAAGGGCAAGCGCACCAAGACGAAGATCACCAAGTCGACGCTGGAGTCGGCCTTTGCGACCTCGTCCGCGACGACGTCGGCGGTCGGCGGCGGCGGCGGCATCACCGGCCCCTCGACCATCCTCACCGCGCGCCCGTTCCCGCTGGAGCGGCTGGTCGCCATCTACCATGCCATCGACCCCAACCCCCCTGCCAATCCGATTCGCATGGCGGCCGTGTCCGACGCGATCTATGCCGAATTGGCTACGTTGCGGCGGCTACGGTTGGTGGTGCCTGCGGCGGGTCGGGAAGGTCGTGTGGGGATGGGGTCCGGTGGGTTGAATAGCGGGAATACCACGTCCGATACGGGGGAGAAATGGTGTGTGAATGTTTCAGGGGACTGGATTGGGGAGTTGGCAAAGACGGTCGGCGTAGAGGTGGGCGAATGGTTGGCGGGAGGTCTGGATTAGGAGGGCCCTTCTTTTTTTCTGATGGGTTTTTTCTGGGTTGTTTGCTTTCTTTTACTTGCTTTGATTCATGTATTGTTCACACTCATATCCCAGGCATCATATAGGCGTTTGGTGCATAGATAGACCTTTATACAAAGGCCCACTTGGATTTTTTCCTTCTACCATATCCATTCATCGACTGTGGCTTGGGCGCAGACGAGTAGGCTTGGTGTCTGAGGCCCCTGAAATGGTGCATCGCCGGATTCAAAGCAGACGGAGGCGATGGGGTCTGCATACTGGTAGTTTGACAAGGGTGAAGTAACCTGTTCCCCGTTGCGCAGAGAAAACAGTTGAATCTTGCCTGTGTCGGTGGCTGAGCACACGGAGTTTAGCGTGGCGTTCTTGCGAGGGACGAAAATGGTCCAGCGGGAATTGGATAGATGCACGTACCGCTGGCTAGAAGCCCAAGCTCCAAACTGATGTCGAAGTCTGGTATGACTTGGGGCTTGAAGTCTTGGAAAGTGAGATAGGGTCGCGTGGAAGTATGCTTCTTGCTGGTCGGTTGCGGTTTCGGTTGAAGCCCGTTGGGCGGAAAGCGGATATCGTACATCTGGAGCTGAGCTAGAGTCAGCTTCATCCTTGTCAAAGAGAAATCAAATGTTCCTTACAGAGTTCATCCCTGCAACGACCATTCGGTAAGGGTCCACTCTGCGAATCTTTGTGACGGCATGTGGATGTTGGAGTCGTGTCGCGGTTCCCCCGCTCCGGAGGTCATGCAGGAAAACAGAGGAGTCCTTGAGACCGGCCGCGATCACATCCGAGGACAACCATTCGACGCTGGTGACGAGGGCATGGGAAGTACCAATGCGTCGTTTGAGGATCGGCTTGCCCGCGTTCACATCGTCGGAGAACGGCTTTTTCGACAAGGCCCAGTACGCTCCGTATCCTTGTAGAGTATACAAGCCATCAGATGCCCCAACAGCAAATAGCGGGTGGTCTCCCACTGGACAAGCCGAAGAACACCACAAAGACGCTGCTGTGCGAATGCGTATTGGTTGAAGGACTATATCGAGACGTATCAGTCATCCAAGTTCTTCACACAGTGAAGGGGTCACATACAGGATGGCGGCCATCGGTAGTCGCCGCCTTCATCTGGGTCTGGCAACATTCGAGGTGCCAGAAACGAGTCGCCCTGGGGACCGCTGTCCATCGTTGAACTGGTCTGGTCAATCTCCTGGCCGGATGCAGGGGTGGACAAGACCTCGTTCTTACAGCAGGTATCCTGTGTGACTCAATGAGATGGACGAAAGCTAAAGAAAAGCCCGCATTAGCGTTGAAACCGACAAGCAACAAGTTGGGGATCGTAGCTAAGCTGTTTACCCTATACGGTTCCTTGAATAGAACACGTTCCATGGTCCGATTGTAAGTCCATTTGTTCTGGTCGCAATCCGGGAAGCACACCCTTGGACGGCTGTTAGCTTGCCGGATACACGACCTCAAAGGACCGGAGAAGGCGCTTACGACACGGACGATTCACCGCCGCGATGACCACCTGGGCGTTCGTTAGTGATTATTCCCACTGCGGTCTTCGCGGACTTCTCTTTAGTATGATAGATAGTACTTACTAGCAATCAAGATCCCCGAGCGCTTGTTGCGCAGCACGTGCTTGATGCTATACTCATCTGGCCAGGCTTCGAATTGATGCAGCTGGTTCCTGCGAAGCTGGCTGGTGTAGGCACGCGCACTTCGCTCCTGTCTCACAGTGGTGGGCAAACGCAAGGCGCCGATCTCTCGTTGCGCATCAAGAAGAGGGTGAGATAAAGATTGCGCCCTCCTTATCTTCTCCTTAGCCTCCCTCTTGATCTGCTGAACCTTTCGGCGACGTTCCTAGTCACAGCGTCAGCGAGATCATGCAAGTGATTCCTGAGCCCCATTTTTTTCACAACCTCGTGGTCGGCGCGTTTGCGCTTGACCGAGTCTTTCGAGTATTGAGCCCCTGGAGCCGCCGCGTGGCTGGCCTGGATCTTGAAATACTTCTTCTTCTCCGGGTCTGGAGACCATGGTTAATAAGATTTGTTCGAAACACACAAATTACTGGGCGCTGGTCATTGTATATGTACCATAGTAGAACCCGGGGATCTCTCTCGCCATGACTGATGGCTAGAGAGGATTCAGATGTGCAGATTATGTGACGCAGAAGATGTGTAATGAATAGCATGAAGGGTTGTTGTGTATCTTGGTAGTAGTAACTGTCACGATGCTAAAGTATATCTGCTTGGATCGCCGGCGGCGTCATGTGCCGCGCGTGCTCGAGCACTCAGCCCAATTTCTAGTCAGGCTGCTCGGGATGGAAGAATTTGATCAGAACACCGCGTCGACTTCCGTTGGCGGACTGCAAAAAAGCTTAAGTCATATATTTCGTAAGATTGTAAAGCAGTAGCAGGTAAAAGAGGTCATAAATGAAGAAAATATGGTATGAATGCGACAAGACAATGGGGTGGATTTTCCACAGCGTTTAAGGTTAGGATGGATGGATGGATGACGTTCTGGTCGGTGTCCTCGATTACGTCAGTCATGCCCCTCGCTCATTGGCTGAGAGGCCAGTATATTCCTCTTTCCCTTTATGGCACTGAGTGAGTGCGACGGGAGTCTCTCCTTCCTTCCTTCCTTTCTCGCAATGGGTATCCTTTCATGGCTGGTGAAGCAATGCTTTGGAATCTCTAATGATGACCTCTATCTGCTTGTCACTCCGCTCCAGTAGACTCGGTTACCTCCAGCTAGAGGACAATCTTATCGTGCATACGATTCAAAGCATAACCTTAAAGGTCATTTATACCCTGCGCCCCCCTGGTCTTCTTAGCTATGCCTATCACGTTGAGACTGAGCCGATCGGCAATTGTCATGGAGAGCACCACCTCCCTCGACAAATCGACTACCCTCGATGTGAACAATGGTCTTGTCGAGGAGAAGCCAGACTCGACGGCACCCACCCAGGTAGCCATCGAAAATGACGAGGAGGACGAGAAAGACATTGATAGTCTCATTGAGGAGTTGCAATCTGTCGATGGCTTTGCCGATCTCAAACTTCTGGAATCGAACCACACAGGCGGTCGACACCCGGTATCAGATGAATTGCTCCACACAGACTCGAACACAGGCCTCAGTACGAACGAAGCACTTCTACGACGGAAAAAGTTCGGTCTCAATGAGATGAAGGAAGGGAAGGAGAACCTGATCTTCAAGTTCCTATGGTTCTTCGTTGGCCCCGTTCAATTTGTCATGGAAGTATGTGTCGCTCATTCATTCTCGTGAGAGATAGCTACTGACTGTCTACCGACGTGCAGGCGGCGGCGATTTTAGCTGCTTATCTTCATGATTGGGTCGACTTGGGCGTGATATGTGGTCTTCTCCTATTGAATGCGTCTGTGGGGTTCATACAGGAATATCAGGCGGGTTCCATTGTCGAAGAGCTGAAGAAGACTTTAGCACTGAAGGCTATAGTTCTGCGCGATAGTGTACTCTCTGAGCTCGATGCAGCCCAACTCGTCCCGGGTGACATTGTGAAGATAGACGAGGTACCTACCCTTGACTGTTTCTGCCAATGGCTTCTTGGCTAACGAGAGAAAGGGCACGATCGTTCCTGCGGATGGCCGCATTATGACCAACTCTGCTATACAAGTCGATCAGTCGTCAATCACTGGGGAGTCCCTGGCTGTCGATAAGCATTCGGGAGATACATGTTACGCGTCCTCCACTGTGAAACGAGGCCACGCCCGAATTCTCATTACCGCTACTGGCGATTCGACCTCTGTGGGGCATGCTGCAGCCTTGGTTAATGCCTCTGCCTCGGGAACAGGCCACTTCACCGAAGTCCTTCAGGGTATCAGCACCGTCTTACTTGTCCTTGTTGTTGTCACTCTTATCATCGTTTGGGTATCCTCCTTCTACCGTTCCAACAACACCACGACCATTCTCGAATTCACATTGGCCGTCACAATGATTGGGGTCCCGGTAGGCCTTCCCGCAGTTGTTACCACCACGATGGCAGTAGGAGCAGCATACCTGGCGAAGAAACGAGCGATTGTTCAACGGCTATCAGCTATTGAATCCCTTGCTGGCGTTGAGATACTCTGCTCAGACAAAACTGGCACCTTGACCAAGAACAAGCTGTCTTTGACAGAGCCCTTCACCGTTCCTGGTGTGGAAGCTGAAGATCTGATGCTAACGGCATGCCTCGCCGCATCTAGAAAGAAGAAAGGCATGGATGCAATAGACAGAGCATTTTTCCGAGCTTTATCCTCCTACCCGTGTGCAAAAGCAAAGCTCACAGAATACAAGGTGATTGAGTTCTCTCCGTTCGATCCAGTCTCGAAGAAAGTCAAAGCAGTGGTACAGTCTTCCGAAGGAGAGCGCATCACATGCGTGAAGGGATCTCCTTTATTTGTGCTTAGAACCGTCCAGCAAGATCACGCAATCCCCGAGGAGATCGAAACTGCATACAAGAACAAGGTCGCAGAGTTCGCGACTCGCGGTTTCCGCTCGCTTGGTGTGGCTCGGAAACGTGGTGATGGCGAATGGGAGATTTTGGGTATAATGCCATGCTCCGACCCTCCGCGACACGACACCGCAAAGACTATTAGCGAGGCCCAGACTTTGGGGCTTTCAATCAAGATGCTCACAGGCGATGCGGTAGGAATTGCTCGCGAGACCTCGCGCCAGTTGGGACTAGGAACGAATGTGTACAATGCCGAGCGTCTTGGTCTTGGTGGAGGGGGGACAATGCCTGGCTCCGAGGTTTATGATTTTGTTGAAGCCGCAGATGGCTTTGCAGAAGTCTTCCCAGAGCACAAGTACAATGTCGTGGATATTCTGCAGCAGCGTGGATATCTCGTAGCCATGACGGGCGACGGTGTCAATGATGCCCCATCCCTGAAAAAAGCTGACACTGGAATTGCAGTCGAAGGATCCTCAGATGCCGCGCGATCTGCAGCTGACATTGTGTTCCTAGCTCCAGGATTGTCCGCTATCATTGATGCTGTGAAGACTTCCCGTCAAATCTTCCATCGCATGTACGCTTACGTGGTTTATCGTATAGCTCTCTCTTTGCATCTCGAGATTTTCCTAGGGCTCTGGATTGCCATCCGCAACGAGAGCCTAAACTTGCAACTGGTGGTGTTCATTGCAATTTTCGCCGACATTGCAACTTTGGCTATCGCCTACGACAAAGCCCCCTTCTCCAGTACACCAGTGAAATGGAATCTTCCCAAGTTGTGGGGAATGTCGGTCCTGCTTGGGATCGTCCTTGCCATCGGAACGTGGATCACCCTCACCACAATTTTGGCTTCTGGTGAGAATGGGGGCATCATGCAGAACTACGGCAAACGAGACGAGGTCTTGTTCTTGGAGATTTCATTGACTGAGAATTGGCTTATTTTCATCACTCGCGCTAACGGTGCTTTCTGGTCCTCTGGGTGGCCATCCTGGAAACTGATAGGGGCCATTGCAGCGGTGGACACCGTCGCTACATGCTTCTGTGCATTTGGCTGGTTCGTCGGCGGACAGACTTCGGCCCCAACAATTATTCGGATCTGGATCTTCTCCTTTGGTATGTTCTGCATCATGGGAGGGTTGTACTATCTGCTCCAAGGCTCCAAGAGCTTCGATAATATCATGCACGGCAAAAGCCCCCGATGCATGGACAAACAGCGCTCTCTTGAGGACTTCTGTATGTTCATACCCCATTTCCCGGTAGCGTTCCAACAAAGCTAACTGGCCCAGTGGTTGCCCTACAACGTGTGTCTTCTCAGCATGAGAAGAGCTCGTTGACCAGTATGGAGAATGGACAGGCTACCCGTGGCGTTTGATCATCCTTTAGCGTTAATGACATTCTGTACGGCTCGCTGGCGAAATCGGTATAGCTCAGGGTCGATGTGGTATCATGAGCACTCACCCTGAATATCTTGCTGTGCTTGTAAAAAGCTCATGTGTTTGCCGAATACGTTCTTTCTGTTGTACATCATAGGTGAAGTAAAGGCATGGTGTATCCCAATTATGAAACATTCATGAAGAATTATGATTGATGCGCAGAATCCTGACCTAAAGCGAGTCCTATCCTATCAACTTGAGTCTACCATGCTGCGCTCTAGGCTGTCAATCTACTTATTGGTGAAATCGAGAAGCAAATAGGTATTCCTAGATTACACGGTGACAATGATAGTAAAGGTAGATGATAGGGTAAGTCGTGAGGAAACAGGCTGGTCGGAGAGGGAGAATGCCACCGAGAAAGAAAGACGATGTACAGATACATAGCAGCAAGTATGCAAGGTGAAAGGGGGCGAAAGACGTAGAGACATGAAGAATAAAGAAAGAGGATGAGGAAGGTCTGGAAAAGTTATGATGACGTGATAGAGAGATAAGGAAAATTGACGTGTAGAGCGAATGGACGGCTAAGGACAAGAGAGTCGAGACTATGTGCACTGGGAGGGGGTTTCCATCATCGCGGAAATGTTGAGAGAGCGTTAAGCTTTAGAGGTCAGGTGATCGACAGCCTGTGCACACAAAGGTTTTGTTGTTAGCACAATAGTGGAAGTTAGTTCGCAATCGGCCATGACATACCTTGTCAATATTATAGTCGAACTGTTCGAGGGCAGCGAGTGATTCTTCGCGAGGGAATCCCATGTTGGTCAGACGTTGAAGGATCTGATCATCCTCGGTGCCGGTCTGAAGAGCCCATCCTGGTGGCTTGTTGGCTTGGGCAGAATCATTCGCAGTGTTGGTGCCGTTGGCTCCGCTTGCTGATGCATTGGCATTGTCAAGAGGAGCGAAGAGCTCTTCCCAGTTGTGCGTCTGCGCCTGGGAATTTGTGTCAGGGTGAGACGCGGCGAAGCCCGGAGATGATGCGGTGGCATCCTTGTTGAAATCAAAGAAGTCTGACGAGGAGGCGGCAGCATTCTGTGACGTCTTCTGGGCCGGGTTATCGAAGGAGAAATCGAAGTCCATGTTATCCTTGTTCTCCACGGTCTCAAAGTCGTCATCGTCGTCCTCAGCCTCCTTGGCAGGGGCCAGGTCAAGCCCTGCAAATGCAGCCTCGAAATCAGGAGCATTGGGCTTAGTTTCCTGAGGGGCGGCCTTGGTTTCTTCATGGTAATCGC